TTAAAGATTAGTTGAGTGTGACCTCTGTCCTTCACAATCTTACAGCCAATTTGGGAGACAGATTTAATAGCTATATCAGAGATGTGAAAGATGCTCTGAGGTCTTAAAGAAAGAAGCACCTGGCTTATCTGCCTGCTTCAGAAGGGGCTTGCTGATTATCCTGAGATAAAGGAATTCCAAAATGGATGTGAGAAATCCAAGTCAGGGTAGAAGCAACGTGAAAAGAACTATGCTAGACTACAACATGCTGGGTTTAGATGGTTCCAAGTAATCCACTGTGACTACGCCACTTATCAGCTTCTGCATTACTGTGTCCTGCCTCTCAGTAAATTGTTATATCAAGCTGGGAGGCATCTGGAATGGAAGTTGAGAGCCATGGGATAACCTGTCTGGAGTAATGAGAATTTTAACATTTGTCAGGTGAAAATAGGAAACTACTGGTCCTATGACCTTCCTCTTTGACCAGCCTGCAGGATATTGAGAACACTTTCCCACTGTATGCAGAAGTTCAGTCTTGGGGGCGACTCATTAGCTTCACTGATACCAAGGAAGACTGTTTATTATTTAGATTCTTTTAGTCTCAACTCTCTCTTGCTGTAAAAGGAGCATTACTTTTTTTCCCCTTCTGCCCTCCCCTTCCTCTCACTTGGTCCTCTCTTGTAATATTTCTCATCCTGGAATTTTCAGTCTTCTACAGTTAATAATCCACCCACATATCCTTTTCATTCTTGGCATGGATTTCCCCCTGCCACTTTGTTTACAGGATCTTAAAAACTACTAAGTCTGACTATGGACTGAAAGACAATAAAACTTGTTCTGTGAAAATTTGGTAAGAAGTTATTGTGGTCTAAGGTTTATTTTAAAAACGATGACCTTACTAAGACATTGGTAATGGAGGAGAGAGAACACATTGGAAGGAAATTCAAAGGATAGAACTGACAAGATCTGAAGTGGTTTGAATATTGTTGAGGTAGAGAAGGACGCTTAAACAATCCAGGTGACTAGTGGAAAGGGATAAAAATTGAAAGAAAAGATAATTGATGGATCTGAATCTGAAGAAAGAGGAAGGGATTCAACCTAGAGTACCCAAAGAGAGATTAGCTTGAGCAGAAAGAAACCTTTCTAAAGTGGGAAAGAAAATGTCTGGTTGAGAGGAGTGACTGATTGCTCTCCTCCTCACTGCCCCCAGCCCAGTGCAGGGGATTGAATTCAGAGGCTCATGCAAAGCCAGGTTAAGTGCTCTCCCCCATCCCCCAGCTCTACCCCAAAGAATCCACTTGCTTGATATTCACTGGGCCCTGCTTCACTAGAGGCTATGGTGATGGAGCACTAAGGCATCATTCTCCACTTCTTCTTTGTCCCACCTTTGCCCAGGCTTCTGTTGCCTAACCTTTTAGGCAGAGTGGAGACACAGTCATTGAAAGGAGAGCTTGAGAGAAAGCTTCTACTCTCCTCATTTTTACTTTGTCCACTGGTGACTAGTTGGGTAAGTCACATGTCTCCTGCATGGCAGGCCCGGCTGTCCTCAATTTCTAAGGAGGGAGTAGTGGTGTCTCCTCAGCCTCAGGTGGAAGTTGTCTAGGCTAATCAAATTCATGAGGTAATGCTGCCTTCTCAAAGGTATTGTGGACTTCCTGGTCCATAATTTAGGTTTCATTTGACTCATTATTTTTAATATATTCTATCACTTTGCTTTTCAAAGTGTGCCTTCTTAACTAATGCCAGCCCACGAACCATGCAGACATAAGTATAGAGAGTAAATTGTTTATTAAAAAACAGAATCCTGGTCCTTCACAGCAGATAGTTTGAAAAGTGTTGCACTATCAGACAGAACCCTGGAGAGAAACAATCATCTGAAATTAAATGAATAAGTAATTGGATTCCTTTTATGTCCCAGCCTGTTTGAGGCCTTAGGAATGCAGCAAAGAATGACAACCTCTCTGTCCCAGGAAACTTACATCTTAGGGGAAGAGACAGTAAATAATGAGGTAAGATAGAAGTAGAATGAAGAAATTTAATTGGGAAAGTGATTAGCTGGTCAAGGAAATGCTTTTCTGAGGAGACAGTAGGTGGGCTGAGACCAAAATGATAAGGAACTGGGATGAAGGTGTGAAAAAGCACATTTGGGACAAAGAGGGAAGCTAGTGCAAAGGCCTTGAGAATGAATTTGATGTGGTTCAGGAACCTGCAAGGTTGCTGAGAGCAAGTATAGTATTAAGAAAGGAGTGTGTACAGCTGAGGTTGGGGAAATGACAGGTATTGAACTGCTGATTACCAGTGACCCAAGTTCCATTTCCCAGATGTAAAGATTAAACACTGAAGCAAGTGTAGAAAGCAAGTTTTATTTAAAGAATAATAATAAACTTCTCTCTAGAGGAATAAAGGGCCAAAGCTGGTATTCTGATATCCAAAGTAGAAGTGTCCTATACCTTTTAAACATTTTAGATTTTCTTTGTTCTGCCCTCTTCTCTTATCTTGTTCCTTCATTTTCCCATCCTGCCTACATGACTAGTGACCTGATTAGTTGGGAGGTGGTGGAGTGCCGGTGGGATGGCCAAAAGGTGAGAAACATGGGCTAGAAGGGCCAAAGATGGAGTGATACTGGGCAGGAAGGGAGCTATAGCCCAGGAGGCATTAATTAACAGCTCCCTGTCTACTCAGGAGGTGCTTGTTAACAACCTTTTGGGAGGAACAGTATAGATTGGTAATCTTGGTAATGGGTGGAGAAAGGTCTCTAGAGGCATTAGCATTTCAGTCCACCAGAAACAGTCTCCAACTTCCCAGACCCTAACTCAGCTTTCATTTTCCCCATCACCTGTCTACACTAACTAACTAACTGCCAGTCCTTAATCATTGCTTTAGTACTGGCTCTGCAGAAGCTTCCAAGCCAAGATGAAGGGTCTGGATTTTATTTGATGTTCACTGAAAAGCCTTGGAAGGTCTCATTCCTGGTTTGTGATTTTCAAAAATCACGATAACTGCTGTATGGCAAAATTTTACGTTCACAGGAGTGAAAGTAGAAATAGAATGATTAAAAGTTTGGTGCATGTGGAAGACGACCACCCCTCAGGCTGTAGCAAAAACAATGCAGTGGCCCTAGAACTGCAGCTCAGCAGCAGAGCACTTGCAGAGTGCTTGCCTAGCATTTGTGAGGTACTAGGTTCGATCCTCAGCACAAAATAAAAAATAAACAAATAAAATAAAGGCATTATTCCCATCTATAACTACAAAAAACAATTTTTTTTAAAAAAAGCAATACAGGATGGAGAGACATGTTCTAGAGTGAGTAGGGGTGAGAGTTTGTGATGAATGAAATGGAAAGAGTGAAGGAATAAAAGACTAAACTATTCTTGATTATAGTTATTGTGATTTAATGAAAATTGGCTCAATGGAGTTTAACAAATGCAAGGTCAGAATGTGGGGTCAGTTGTTGCTAGTGTTGAGGTTGTCAGGATAATGGTGAGAATGGGATTTGAGAAATTATATTCCATCTATGTATGATATATCATAGTGCATAAATACATTCTACTGTCATTTTTTTAAAAAAGACAACATAGCAATGACCATGAGATGACAATGACAAGGAAAAATGGAATAGCTGATAGCTTGAGCTTGGATGGGTAGTGGGCAAGAGGGGAAAATTTGAATGGAAGTAGCAAAGTAGCTGGAAAAGGAAAGATTTTCCAACACAACTTGATTTAGCTTGCTCAGATCCCTGATCTGCAAACTTCTCAACTCTTCTCACCTTTTCCATTGCTACCAATTTCACTCTTCCAGGGCATTTGTGCAGTAGTTGTTGGTTCCTAATATTTTAGGAACCAGTAACATTCATAGATGTGTGTATGGTTTCACTGAGGAAGAGTGCAGTTACCTGGATCTTGCTTAGAGGAAGCTGTACAGAGTTGTGATGGTGGAAAATTACAGGAACTTGGTCTCAGTGGGTAAGAACATTACAAACCTGAACATTGCTTATTGGAGTCTTTGTTTCCTAATTCTTTTTTATACCAAAAGATATTTTCTAATTATCCTAAGCAGTTGAAGAACTTTATTAAGAATTGAGACTAGTGAGTGGCTTCACTGAATCCTTTTCAGAACCCAGACGTGTTCCTTTTTTATAAACCAGGGATTGGGGTTTATACCTGTGGGTTTAATCCCTAGTACCAAAAACTAAAATAAATAAATAAAGTAGTGAAAAAAATGTGTTGCTTACTAAATGTATCCAACGGTAATAGTTAGATGAGTTATTATGAATCACAGAAAAGATAATACATCCTGTTGATAAAAAATTTTTAATTAGTTGAGAAGATGAATAGACACATGCTAGGTTAAGTCATGTGAAATTACCATTTTGTAGTCAAAAACAGACACCACAAAAATGACTGAAAAGAAGCATACTGTTGTGGTGGCTCTTTAGGGTTTCCCTGCCTCAGTCTGTGGCAGATTCCTGGTTCTTCTTCTCTTGGTAAGTGTGGCTCTTCATTCATTATTCCAGCTAAACCTAGAGAGGAGGTTGAAAAATACTTCTGAGTGGTAAGAATCGTGTATTTTCATGTCCTAGGCCTGTGCTTTACATAGGCACCAAAATTGCTTACTTGGAGCAATAAAGCAAAACTTTCATAAGGAAGTATTTTAATTTTTTATTTTGTTTTGGTACTGGGGATTGACCCCAGGGGTGCTTTACCACTGAGCAACATCCCTAGTCCTTTTTGTCTTTTATTTTGAGACAGCATCTTTCTAAGTTGCTGAAGGTCACACTAAATTGCTGAGGCTGGCCTTGGGACTTAAGATCCTCTCTATTGCCTCAGCCTCCCAGGCCACTGAGATTTCAGGCATGTGCCACCACACCTGGCTTGACTTTGTGATTTTGAAATGGGGTATCTCTGTGTTTCCCAGGCTGGACTTGGACTTTGGGCTCAAGAGATCCTCCTGCCTCAGCCGCCCAAGTAGCTGGGACACACCTATAGGTGTGTGCCACTATGCTGGCTTGTTTGTCCCCTTCAGAGTTTTTCCTTTTTCTTTTCTTTCTTTCTTTTTTTTTTTTCCTCTTCCAGAGTATTTACTGTTATCAGTTTTATTAATGGGTTTTACAGTGTTAACCTTTTCTTGAAATTCTTTGTCTTGTATGAGGTCATAGTTTTCCTGTTTCCTCCAGCCTCCTTCATATTTCTTTTTGCTGCAGATTTACTTTCTTCTGAATTTGGAAATCCCAGAGGGCTGTTTTGTTTTTACAGTTCTGGAGATTGAACCCAGAGCTCACAGATGGCTAGGGTAAATGCTCTATCATAAGGTACACTCCAAGCCTGCCTTTTTTGTTGTTGTTTGTTTGTTTTTGTTGTTGTTGTGTGGTGCTGGGATTGAACCCAGGGACTTGTGCATTCTACCAACTGAGCTATATCCCCAGCCCCTGTTTTTTTGTTTTTGTTTGTTTGTTTGGTACTGGGGATTGAACTCAGAGGTACTGGACCACTGAGCCACATCCCCAGCCCTATTTTTAATTTTATTTAGAGACAGGATCTCTCTGAGTTGCTTAGTGCCTCACTTTTGCTGAGGCTGGCTTTGAACTCATGACCCTCCTGTCTCAGCCTCCCAAGCCACTGGGATTACAGGTGTGCACCATGGCACCCCGCCCCCTGTTTGGTTTTTGATCACTATACATCCCATCACTATATGGAAATGATTCACAACCATTTCTTCCTAAGGAGACAAATTGAATTAAATTTCTCTCCAACAGAAATTAAGTACTAAGGAATAAGGTTTTGCCAAGTAGAATTGCTTTAGAGGACTAAAAACCAAGTGTAATGTGTTAAGAACAAATTCTCATCCCTTTGGGGGTGATATTGCTCCTCTTGAGAATGCATACTGTGTGTAGATATTTGAATAAAAAGATAATATATATTTAAAAGGCTTCAACTACCTTTCTATTTTGATAGCCCTGATGTCTTTATTTTTCTATCCTCATATTAAACTCTACTCCCATGTGTTTTCTTGGCCATGGATAGATACACTTGAATATCCAGGGCTACTTCAAATTCAGAGTGTTGAAAATTTTAAAGACTTTTCCTTTTTAACTTCTTATATTCTTACTTTCGTTTTTCCAGTCTCCTGGTTTAGAAATAGGCCTTTATTAAGTTTCTTTCTCCCCATCCTCAGTATCTGCAAATTTCACTGTGTGTGCATGCACTTGTGCTTGCACTTGAAGGACCACAGGAAAACAGACTTAGCTGAAAAGAAGGGTGAACTTGGCAGCAGAGAACAATGCTCCATAGACCACAGGACACAAAAGACCTCAAAAGTCAGGCAGGGAGCTTAGCCTCTACACCAGCAACTAGGGTAATTCTGGCTTTTTATCCAAAAATGGCAGATAAGTGACATTTAAGGGAGAAAAGTCACTGGGCATGGCCACACTGGCCTGTGATCCCTGTAACCCAGGAGGCTGAGGCAGAAGGATCACAAGTTTAAGGCCAGCCTCGGCAATTTAGTGAGGCCCTAAGCAATTTAGCAAGACCCTGTCTTAAAATAAAAAATTAAAATTAAAAGGGCTAGGGATGTGGTTCAGTGGTTGAGCACCCCTGCATTCAATCCTTGGTACCAAAAATAAATAAATAAGGGAGACAAGTCTATGTATAATACCTAATTTGAGCTTGAAAACTGAAGTTAACAATCTAATTTTTACCATAATTCAAACATTAAGTGCAGCTGAACTCTGTGGGGCTTAAGTGTGCTAGTAGGAGGTAGAGGAGGACAGTGGGAAGTTGGAGAATAAGTACCCAGACACAGTTAGATAAAAATAATAACTTCTAAGTTCTACAGAACAGTGAGGTGACTACACTTCACAATAGTCAATTATATACTTTATGATACCTGGAAGAGAAGAGCTTGAAGTCTTCAAACACAAAGCAATGATAAAGAGATGGAAACATAAATTACCCTCATTTTCTTAGTACATACTCTGTGTGTGTGTGTGTGTTGAAATATCATACTGTACCCTATAAATTTGTACAATTTAAATAATTTTAAATGCTAAGGAGGTAGCTCAGTGGTAGGGCATTTACATAGCATGTGCAAGCAAGGTAAAAATAATAATTTAAGTGATAATAAATTTAAAATAGCTTAAAGTAAACCAAAAAATCAGTGGCTAGGGTGTGGCTCTGTGGTGGAGTTCATCCATAAGGTCCTGGGTTCAATCCTTTGATTAATTATCCCATGCTCTGGTTCCTGATTGGTTTTGCCATTTAAGATTTTTTTTTTTTTTGATGTTCAAACCTATATGAAACCTTTTACTAAGCCTTCCACTTGACCCCTCCTTTCAAAGCTCTCTATTTATATCTCACAGTCTCAGACCCAGTGACATATTCTTTTATATGTTCTTCTTTTAACCATTGGATGTTCAAGTCTGATTTTTTTCCTTGTTTCCAGCTAGGTTCCTGGAGAGAGCCAGCTATCTAACACAGACATCCATCAGTATCCATAGATTTGTTCCAGGGTCCCTCCAGATACCAAGATCTGAGGATGCTCAAAACTCATGAAATGACTTAGTATCTACATGTAAGCTATGCACATCCTCCTGCAAACCTTACATGATTTCTAATACAATGTAAATTCTAGATAAATTGTTGTTTTGCTATATTATCTAGGGAATAATGACAAGAAGAAAATTTGCACATGTTCAGTTACAGGCACTTTTTTTTTCCCAGATATTTTTCATCCACAATTGGTTGAATCCATGAATGTGGAACCCACAGACATGGGAGACTGACTCTATTTTCAGTGCTGTATGTACATAGTCAATATTTAATAATTGACTACTGCAGAATTTAGTAGAGAAGAAACTTTTTTTCCTCAATGTTGAGAAATTATTATACATTAATTCTTTGTATTATTGCAGGTTTTTTGGTGGTGATTGTGGTTTTGTTGTTGTTGTTTTTTGTTTTGTGTTTTTTCAGTGCTGGGATTGAATCCAGGGGTGCTTTAACATGGAGTTACCTACCCAGCACTTTTTATTTTTTGTTTTGAGACAGGGTCTCCCTAAGTTGCCCCAGCTAGCCTTAGGCTGGCCTTGAACTTGCTATCCTCCTGCCTCACCCTCTTGAGCCATTGAAATTACAGGTATATGCCACCATGCCCAGCCATATTATTTTAAATATTTAAAAATCTGATAACCACAAAATTTTATTACTACTTGTGAAAGCTATCAATAAAATTTCTCTTTCATTGATTTCATACACCTGTAATTTTTTTCTTTATTTTTTTTATTGTTGGTTGTTCAAAACATTACAAATTTCTTGATATATCATATTTCACACTTTGAT